GACAGGAGGGAACGAGAGAAAGATAGAGAGGGAAAGAAGGTGGGGGGGAAAGAAAGACAGAGACAAACAAAGAGAAAGAGAGAGAGAGAGAGAGAGAGAGAGAGAGAGAGAGAGAGAGAGAGAGAGAGAGACAGACAGACAGACAGACAGAGAGAGAGATTGAAATCATGACACATAAATTATTCGTTCTTTTCTTCAAATTGTCTTATATTGATTCCTCCAACTCCACAACGGAGGAAAAACGATCGTTCATCGAAAAGACATCCGCAATCTTCATTTAGATCTAGATTTAGATCCAAACTAGATCTGTGATTTATGTCAGTCTGTCTACTGTCTAAATCTAGACCTAGGCCATCTAGAAGAACTTAAGTCTACCCTGAGCCAAGAGGGCGTTGAAACTTTCCGAACTCACAAAAGATTTTTCCCTATATAGGCCTATGGGGTCTGTATACTTAATGACTTTATAGTTATTCCCGGTAACCGGGTCTGTATACACTCGCTAAAATTAATTAAATATATAATTGACAGATAATTTTGCCAAAAAGTTCTGTCAGCTTATTACAACACAACGAGCCAGGGATCCATTTAAAAAGGCCGGCAGTATTTCTCCGAACGTTCGGGAAAATAAAGCTGGGCACTATTTCTCCGAACACTCTGAAATCACATCCTTTCCCGCAAATTTCGCATACATATATATAGATCAATAATTATATTACAGGCCTACCAAAGATTGTTCGTATACAATATTGTGGTTCAATCGGTCCAAAAAATGTCCGCTGTAAATATTTATATACAAGAAAGAAATGCTACAGCTCCAAACAGTTTTTCACTACAGATATATGACGTGTTGCCTATGAAGGGTCGTGCTGCTCTTAAACTTAATGTGTTGTGTTCACTCGAGTGCTATCTAGATCTACGGAGGGCTATTGATAACGACACATAGAACTAGCATCTGCGTTTAGCGCGGCCACCATCAATCAATCGTGGCTCGATTTTTTGGCATTTTTTGGTAACTTGCCATCTAAAGTATATGGTAGCTTTAACATGTGAAAAGAAAATATGGCAGAGTGGGCGATTAAGATTCTAGACAAGTGCTCAACAAAAAAGTAAAACATAAAAAAGAAGTTACGAAGAAGCGCCTACCAATGAAATGATGGGTGTGTGTGTGTGTGTGTGTGTGTGTGTGTGTGTGTAACACTTGCCCGTACACTTTCTTCACTTCGACTCATGAACATGAACCCAGGAGTCGGAGAGCAGAAGAATCCTCCAGTGTATTTCACACATATCCAGATCTAAGTCTAGAAGTATATGTAGGTACCAGGTACGGATAGCTTAAAATACTGCTTGTGTGGATTATTACCTCTTTTTTGGTGAATTACTCACACATGATAAATTCGACGCACAATCCTTCAGTTCACGTAACACTTTGTAACATTCGGTACACACGTTGGTTGAAGCTTCCTTTAAACGTGACCATGACCAAGCTTTATTACATTTACTACACCCTCCCTGCATCCTGTGCAAGTTTGAAGAATTGTTATTAGATCTGTAGGCTATCGACGTTAACTTTAAAGAATGTGCAGTCTTGAAACAATGGATGCCACTATGGCCAAGCGGCTAGCGGCGGAGGGATGACTGCTGGTAGATCTACTGGAAACTGAAAGCCGAGGGCTTCTTCACTTCTTCGCAGCCGAATTGATTTAAAATAAAATTGGGAATTTCCGTTAGTCTTTGGGCATCACATCAGAGACACTAAAATATAGAGACAGGAAACGAGGCCTCTTTTCGCGTATCCAGGTCACCAGCTGATTGTGAAACGAGGCGCGGTAAACAAAGCTAATGGCGGCTGTCGGCAGTCGCAAGTCACCTGCAAGTGTAAGTGGTGTTTTGCGGCAGTCTGCGTC